CTGTGGCAGCCGATGGCACATCTCTCCGGACTGCCCCATGAAACAGGAGGACCGAGGAAAAGGGTTCGGCAACAAGGGCAAGGGCTTATAGAAAATGGAGGCCCTACGGCAAAGGCAAGGGCAAGGGCAGGAAAGGTTCGGCAAATCCAAGAACTTCGGCAAGGGCAAGTACAAGGGGAACCACTGGCATTTGCGAGCACAAGGCCTGGACATCTCCGACGTGATCGTGACCAAGGACATCAAGGAAGCCAAGAAATCCGGTTCCTCCGAGGCCTACCACATCGGCACGCCAAGAGAGGACGACCTGCTGAAGCTTGGACGCCCTGACAAGGCCGCGACCAATGTCGGAAGCTCATCCGAAAAGACCTTCAACTTTGCCGTCTTCAAGCACTACCAGACCGAGGCGGCAAGCGGAGAATAGTTCACAGTTGGCGGCAATCGGCGACGAGGACTGATCGTCGACCAGGAGCAGCATCAGGTCTCATAGGATCTGAAACCTTGAGAGACCTTGCATTAAGCCCTGCGGCAAGGAGCGTGACGTTGAGAGGTTCCGGGACAAGATCACGAACGTCAGCGGAATAAATGGACAACAGGAGGCAACCCTGGGTGAGATTGTGGTGCCGCTGCAATCCTCAGGGCAAGCAATCTCTTTCCGAGCAGAAGTACTTGAAGGCGATGGATCGCTGTGTCCTCCACTGATTGGAAACCCATCGCTTAGGCAGCTCAATGCCACCATCTACTCGAACTACTTCGAGAACGGCGATGGTCTACTCACAGTGGGCATGAGAGAAAGGTATCCCGAGGAGCAACAGGTCACGATGTTCCGCCTCCTCCTTACCGATTCTGGACATTACATCAGTACCACTGATGACGAAGGAGCAGCACCTCTACCGCGTCAGGACAAGATCAAGAAGGAGGTGATGTGGTTCAACGGCCAAGTGCTGCAAGCAATGGAGCGATGTCCGAGCCCGACTGTTCTGCTCTACCAGACAGGCACGGCAGAAGGTGACCGGGGTGAAGTGGAAGAAAGCAGAGAAGGGAGATGCCTCGGAAACCAGCCCATGAAGATGATTCTGGTTCGGCATCACCACAACCTCTGTCAGAGCCAGATTCGAGCCCCTGCATCAAGGAGAAACTCGTCCAGGAGTCCGAGTTCATGTGGAGCTGCGGATACTCTGGATTGAGATGCCCGATCGAGATCTCGCAGCAGCCGCGCTGGCATTGATGATGAGCCAGAGGATTACTGGCAGGTGGAGTTCCGCACTGGATGGGTAGAAGTGGCACGGATTCACGTTCGCCTACGTCGGCAACTATTCCATCCTGGAGACGTACAGCTTCCTCCAGGAGTTGATCTCGAACGCCTCACCAACAACAGATACACCGAGGTCATTCCTGCTGACAACGAAGGCATTGCCGAGTATGCCGTGGCGGACAACTGCCGCACCGAGTTCCAGCGCATGACGCATTCATGGCGAGGAATTACGCACTTCAGGATGCGACACGGAACTCCCGAACCAAGATCATCTACAACCATGACATCGGCATCAGCGCGACGAGATACCGATGGGTGCAGTGGAGCTGGAGGGCCAAGCGCACCTACTGGATGGGCAACTACGAGGGAGACCGCTCGGAGTACCTCTACGGCCAGGACAACGACAGAAGAGCCTCTTGATGAGGCCCATTTTTCAAGTACGAGGGGGACACCTTGCCGAGTGACCTACCTCCAGCAAAGGTCAAGAAGCTAGAGAAGAGGCACGAGGCCATTCCTGAGGAGTACTACAAGCACACCGGACATCGACCCATCACGCCCCACAACTTCCATCACTGGAGGTGAAGGGCCGAGGTCTTCGGTGGCATGCCTGGGAGATCTGCAGTGGATCGGGCAGACTCTCATTGGTCATGATCATGGCAGGTTTGCTGATCGGATTTCCAGTAGACCTCAGGTATGGCTGGGATATCAACGACGTGGGCCACCAACCATACTGAAACAGGCGTGGAAGGAGTTCGATCCAGTCTTCATCAGACTGTGCCCCATGGTTGGTATCCGGGAATCCGGGAACACCAAGCTGGCAGAGAACAGAGAGTATGAACGCCAACAAGATCGGCCTGGGCTGGAATTCATCAACGAGCTCCTCATCGGCCAGGAGAGGAGGAACCATGCAACCTGGAGCAGCCCATCGGCTCGATCATGTGGAACAAAGGACCGTTTCAATGGAATAGATTGAAACAGATCAAACCGAAGCAGCGCGTTGATCTTTTGTCTCCCCCTTTTTTGACCCACACCAAAAAAGTCTCAACCAAAGGATGCCCTTTTGAAGCCCTGGAGTTGCATCTCCGGTTGACGCCTTCACGCCTTCACGCCTTCACGCGCAGCCTCCGAGGGTCATGTTGCTGCACCTGAAACGCTTCGCAGGGGGCGCCCGGAGAGATTGGGGAGGAAGGCCGTGTCTTTTTGTTTGTGTGTGTTTCTCTTTTTTCCATTTCTTTGTTTTTCTCTTTTCTCGGTTGTAGCGGGGTGTGCTTGTTTTGGTTTGCGGTTTGGTTATTGTTTGTTTGTTTTTTGGTTTGCTTTTTCGGTTTTAGCTGTTTGTTTGTTTGTGTGTGTGTGCGTGTGCGTGTGTGTGTGTGTGTGCTTTTTTTGGTCAGTGCATGCACGGAGCGGTGAACGAGAAGGGCATCTTCGTGCAGAAGGGCACGGGTTTCGGATCCAACATCCGATGGAAGAAGACCGCGCTGCGATGTTCGGGACACAATGGCGTTGGTCATGCCCATCTTCAGGGACAGGTGAACGGCATCAACAGAACGGCCATGAGTGCGGTGTATCCCAAGCGGATGTGCCACAAGATGTGCACCACAGGAAGACGCAACCGCAACCAGCGCTTCCAACGCGAGCGGATGATGCTCTACTTCAACCACGGGTCTGGGAACGTTACCAGCAGATGCACCATACGATCTTCCAGTCATGTGACCATGACACTTGGGGAGTAAAATGAGGGCCCCATGAGGAAGGGGTTCTTTCCAGTTTGGACAAAATCCGTTTGCCCAGAAGGGCCCGGCTGGATCCAAAAGTAGGAGCGGTAGTTTTCCGTGCTCGGTGTCCCGTTTTTTGGTTGGCAAGGAAATCAACCTTTTGAAGCACCATTTTGGCGGGCACAAGATCATAGGGGAAAGGCTGGTACTTTATTGGAGCAAACACTTGAATTGAATGTTCCCATTAGAACCCTTCAAGTTCCCGGAAAGCAAAACGCGGATGGCTAAGTTGTCCCTAAGAAGCCAGACCTCGAACAGACTCAGCCAGCAAGGCAGCTACTCATTTGAAAGAACCTGCAATTGGATGTTCCCAATCTAGCACCTAGCCTTATTAGAGGAAGCCAAAATTCGATATACACGTTGTTTCTGGATGGTTGCCGGCTTCCAGATCTTGGCAGGACTGAAGGCAGGCGCCCATTGGGACACCTGTGATTCCTTGTTCTCTAGTACAATGGTCCGACAAGCCACAAGGGAGGGATGCCTCTTCACAAAAACATGTCAGACGGGTCCCAGAACTATTTGGCACCAAAAGGTTTCTCCAGCCCTCGTTGCCTGGCACTAGCTCTATGGCACCTGAGCCGCAAGAGCTTGGGACCTGGCATGGCTTGTGGGATGTGAGCCACTTGCTCAAAACTTCGGATAGACGAAGGTTTTCTGGGAGAATCGAAAAGGTGCCCGAAGCGCCGCCAGAATCATTCTTGAAGCATGGTGGCTGGAGCATTTTGGCCAATCCCAGAATCAATCCCGAATCGGACAGATGAAGGTTATTAAGGGAGAATCCCGACCTGTTTACCCTCGCAGCAATTTGTCAGGGAACCTGACAGGGAACCTTTGGAAGACCAGATCCTTGCCAGGTTCCATATCAAAATAGTGGGGAGGGAAATTCTTTAGATGGCTCTGGGTGGACCATTTTACTACTGATCGGTCTTGATTCTGACGAAATGCTGCTGGCACGAGGCTCTTTGGGTCGGAGCCCAGCGCTATGTGCGCGGCGCTGGGGGGCGAAGTCTTCGGCGCCTTTGTGTCGGACTGGAGGGTTGCGGCTGGGGTGGCGCTATATGGGCGTGGCTCAAAATTAAACAGGAGGGGCAAACCGCAGGTTTGGTCCATGTTTCCACTTACCAGGGTTCCATTGTGGTACCGGTTTTTTGAGCCACAGCCATATCTCAGCTGTTTCAAGCCGACCTTGTGACCTTCTGGTTTTCCCATTTTGGTCCATATTTCGTCGTGGCCCCAAAAAGGTTAACCTTTTATTTCTGGGTCCTTTGGGCAACTGAGATATGCATTGTGGTGGACCGTTTGTGGCCGAACCGAAATCTCGGGGTTTTCGAATGCAATGCAAACAAACCCCCGGATCTAAGGCTATCTTGGGGCTCGGCAATCGGCTGACAAAAGGGGCGTCACCTTCCCAGCCAAAATCCGAGGCTCAACGCCCAGCACTTCTTTGGTGAATATCGGGAATCTGAAGCATCCCTCTCGGCTTCTACACCAGGCTACCCCACTGCCCAAGATGCCTCAGCTCTGGCCGATGTTCAGACCTCAGGTAGCGAAAAAAAGCTTGGATGTGTGACCAGTATAGCTGCGGCAAGTCCCCTCTAGAAACATGGTTGCAACCTACTTACCGCGTGGGGTTGAACATGCAAGTGTTCATCTCCTATTGGAGTGGCAGTATATCCTGCTTATATACCCCCCTCATGCAGATGAATCGGTGCTGGTTCAACTGATGGTCACCGACGGGCCCACCTATGAAGGTCCTGCACTGGCAAAAATATCGCATTTTTCACTACCAGACTCACCTTTTCTAGGTTTCGCCAAAAGTGGGGTGTTCCTTAAGTTTTTCCCTTAAGTAAGTCAGCAACGATAGCTCTTTTGCAGGTCCCCGTCTAAGGTTTCCTTTGTTCGGCCGGTGCTTTTGGTTTTTGAGGAGTACTTCGTCCTATGGCCCGGGGATGCGGAGAAGTGGTTCCTGCCCATGCAACTGCGGGACTGAAACGATCGTCGCCGCGCACCGAAACGATCGGAGTCCGAGTCTGAGGGGCCTTCGCAAAGGGAGTCCCCCAGTTCAGCGCGCGTTTTGACCCCGGCTCGGTGGCCTTTGGATCTGTGACTAGGTCCTTCAGTAGTGCCCTCTTGCCAACCTTTTTGGGAAAAGGGGTTCCCTAGAAAAATGGATTACAGAAAGAAGTCGGCACCCTTAATTGTTCTAACCTCTCTCTACTGGAGGACCTAGAATAGATGTTCCACTGGTTTAGACCGGTTTCATTCCATTTACCAGGGCCATCTATTTTTCCAAAAGGGCACCTATGTTCGCACCGTTGGCAGGTGGTCCATAGTATGAAAAAGTCAACCCAAAGGAGGGTTCCCTTTTCTGGTGGCACTGGGCAACTGGGCTGCAGTCATTGCAAAGGAGGTGACTAATGTTGACGCATGGCCTTCCAAGGTGAAAGATCCATCCGCTCAAATATTTATCAATCCGGGCTTCCCATTACATGAACGTGTCTTTTAGAGGATACCTTGGATACCTTTTTGGAGTGGTTTTAAAGGGGAACCAAAAGGAACCCATGTTGGGTGTTCCGCTATTTTGAGATGAACCCACATATCTCTATCTTTGCTTCAACTTGTTCAACTGACATTACTTGGATGCTTCGCAGATGGTTTCCCATCCAGACCATCATGTCTATGCCTTTCTTCACGGGAAGGCTTTATCCCTCCTCCCCCACATGGACCGAAGCCGTCCTTTTGACCTTTTGGTTTCACGCATGGCAAGTGTTTTACATGAGGAGTACACTCCCAAATGGTTAGTGGACATAGAACCCCACCTAATTCATGTTCATCAGAGTCCGCAGCAAAAGTCACACCGAGATGTGGCATGTGTTTAAATGGTCCCAAAGGTTCACCAATCAAGTTCGTAGGAAGCCTCGCACAAGCTGCCCTAGCCCCATGAGACTCACTGCCCCATGGTCAAAGCGTGTCTTCGTGGGGCCCTTTTTGGCAGAATCTTTGGGAAGGTTGCGAGCTAGTGGTAGGTATTTAGTCAACCTGTTCCTTTCAGGATCCATGTTGTAAAGGTGGTGCTTTTGGTAATTCCCTTGTTTGGACAATGCTTTGCAGTCACAGCAGCGCAAGAAGTGATCATAAGAGAAGACAGTTGGCCCTTTGGCTTTGTGTCAAAATGGTTGCTTTCATGCTTTTGACCGCTTGAGCCATACCCAACAAGGTGTTCGCGTTCACATACCCATTTGTGTGCATGTGGCTTTTCAGGGTCCACTTGCACCCTGTATCCTGAAAGCGTCACCCTTCCACATGTGTTCCCTCTTAGGCGCAGAGGGGATGTAAAAAGACCCCTCAAATCAAACGTTATCCCGCCCTCACCAGGGTGTTTCTTTTGGCCAGACCCTGGCAATATCTTCGGCCGCTTGGTTTCCTTAGGGCAGACTTGGGGACTTCTTTGGGTATGGGTCAAAATTAAGCCAGATGGACCGCAGGTGTTTCTCCTTTCCATTTACCAGGTGGCGACCCATTTTGGGGTTTCCCACCACTCTTGACCCACACCCTTGCCAGATAGACCGCAGGTGTTCGTCCTTTCCAGTTACCAGGGATGACCACCACATTTTGACCACACCCTTTGAACTTTGGCCTTGGATCCTCACCTCGTCAGGACATGCTTCGCCTCCAGTTGCCAAGCTTTCTGGTCTTGGAACCCCTCAGCGTCTTCGAAGCAGAGGCGCCTTGCCAAGCGTCAGGTGACTGGGACGGCTTGGGGGGTCCCCTCAAAGAAGACGCCCACTTTGATATTCAACCAACGTCAGGCCAGTAGGTTATAACCATGGTTATTAGGGGACAAGCTCCAGTTACCCAAGTTATAGCCACCTACTAAGTTGGTTGAACATCCAATCAGGAGACGCGGGTTTGTCTCTGAGGCTCCTGAACAGTTCCTACATGGGTCCGGGGTGAGTCTGTAGTGCGAAATAGCTCATGATTCCTTGCATGTCCGTAAGGAAACAAACGGGGACGGGAACGGCATCATGGCTTCGGGACCTCGCATTGAAGCCCCTAAATGGATGGTTTCCTTGTGCCCTTTGAAATGCAAGCCTCTCCCACCAGCAAACGTGGCTTGGTGACAAAGCCCATTCGCTCTTGTCTGCATCGACAAAGTGCAGCTCATCATCTTTGATCCGCCTCTCTACGATCTAAGCATGGCCACTGGACGAGCCTTGCAGCGGTGCAAGCCGCGGGGCTGTCGTAAAAAAGAAAGAAAATAGTGCGGAAGCGCAGGTTCCAAGGGCAGCTGCTACCAAGTGACTTTGCAAAATTCACCACCAGGTCCCCCAGTAGTGCCCTTTTACCCTTTTTGGGGGAGGGTTCCCCCACTAAAATAGACTGCAGAAAAAAGTTGGTACCCTGATTCTAACCTCTCTACTGGAGGACCTAGTCACCAATTACATGGGCTCATGACAACTGGGTCCAGGCGAAACCGTGTTGAGGGGTCCTTTTTTGGGGGATCCCAGCTTTTAGATGATTGGAGTTGCAAGCCCCCCAAAGCCATCCCTCCCCAGTTTTGTCAAAGCCGAACCTGCCTCCTGCTAGTGTTTGATCTAAGGGTGTTTGTGACTGGGACTGCACCCGCTAGGATTTTAGCCCATGCTGTCTCCACGTAAAACTTGATTCCATTTCACTATCCCTGAGTTCCTCGGACAGCCACTTCTTGGCAAGACCGTTTCAGCGAACAAGTTTGGACGTTTCGTGGGACCCGGTCCCAGAAAAGGAAGATGGTCCAAACCAGGACCCTTCCGAACGTGAGGTTCCATGTTAGTTGGTGGGGGGTTGTTTCACTCAAGAGAGGAGTCCGGTGTACCCTCCCCCAGACTAACATGGAAGCTCCCAGGACTCCTTTGGAAGACTTGGTTCCATTTACAGAGGCCTTCTGGAAGCTTCCATGTTAGTCTGAGGGAGTGTAAGCAAAGAAGTGACCCTAGATTTCGGGTGCAGCGCTCGATCGGAGGTTTTCCCCTGGGCGGATCCCCGGAGCGGCGCGGCGGTCGAGTTCCCCGGCAACTGCGCCTGGAGTTTCCTGGGCGCTTTGGAGGGGACCTCCATCACTGAGGAGCGGAAGTGACAAGCGCGGGCCTTTTCTGTCACAGACTTTGTGGGTTCCCCTTTTCAGACACATTAGATGGTCCAAAGGACTAATGGTCCAAAGGACTAGACCTTTGAGGTGGTTGTGGATGGCCAAAATCCTGCAGGTGCTTTGCCCCGAAGTTGTCCCTTCTACCTCACTTCACCTTTTGACCTTCCGTGTCCCATCTTTGATCTATGTTTTGACCAAGGTCGCAAAAGACCCCCTCAACGTTAGGAATCTTCTTTTCTGTTAGGCAAAACGACCACCAAGTGGATATTTCCACGGTGCCCATGGCTCAAAATTTCGCGCCAGGACGGGCTCATGTCCTTCCTGGCGCAGCAGGGCGACGCCTACTGGGCCAAGCGCCGGCACCTGGAGGCGCAGCGGGAGATGCAGCGCTTGCGCGCTGCTGAGGCGCAGCGCCTCCGGGCCGAGGACCTCAGCGCCCGAGGTCCCCCAGCGAGTGGTGCCCTTTTCCCGCTTCTTTTTTTTGGTTGGGAGGGGTGGTTTCCTTTCTAAAATAGACGCATCAAAACCATTTTTCAAATCTTCCTGGGGAGCCCAGTTCTTCGGGTCCTTAGCTTTTGAGATCCTTTTGGTGTTTAATGGTTCGGTTTCCATTTGACCCACTAAAAGTTATTCACTTTTCGCGGGGGATCTGAAAAACGGGGCAGCCCAGCTTGGTCCAGAACCTGAAGGTTTTGGAGGTCACCCCTTGGAGGGTCCTTTCTGCTTCGGGATTTCGTTGTTTGCTCATGGCATTTTTGGAAGCCACCAGGTGGGAGTTGTCTAGGCGGCCAACCCTCCGTTCTGAACCGAGTTCTATAAACGCCCCAGGCGAACATTCTTGAACCACGTAATTGGAACCACCTCCTTTGAGTTGCCCGACGCCTGGAACCCCTGGAGCCTCCGTGACAGCTGCCCTGAATCACACGAGAAAAATGCGGCTGGACTTCTGGCAGAGCCGATTCGAACAGCGGAGCAAAACCGAGCGAGGAAGTGGCCCTTCTGGTGACCCTGAGTTAGCGGGTGGCTTAGGCAACTTGGGGCCAAAGGTTTGAAGGGAAGTGGTCATAACGTCGCTTAAACGCGGTGGGGGGTTGGGTTAAGGCGGTGTTGAAGTAGTCAGACATTTGGCTTGGAAAATGGTTGAAGAGCCGAAAGCCACGAGCGATTCGAGGCCTCGGTCCAGTGCCCTTTGCGACCGTGTGGGGCATGGGTTTGGTTTTTCGCCATGTTCACACGCCCCTCATTCGGCAGATTGCTGGTTATCAGGGAAGGGAACCTCAAACTGCATGCATTCACTTCGCAGCATCCATTCATGGTTGTGGTTGGGAAACATGGTACCTGTTTTCTTATTGTGGTTTAGTGGTCGAAATCACCGCTCAACTGCTAAAATATGAATTGTTGCTCCCCTTCCAACGTCAACCAAGCATTTAGTTTGGCAGGGGATTCCGAATGCTTCCCAAAACCATCAGAGGAGTTCCTGGGTCCTGACCGATTCCATGGCCGCAGGACCGCGAGCACGAGTCCGACCCAAAGGCGCGAGCACTGACGCAGCAGCTGAGTTGTACCTGCTTTCCCTTGTTTGGTGGGTTCCCACCCACTGGGAATGGGTGAATCCAGAGAGGGCTTCGTTTTGGCCCGCCATGGAAATGTAGAGAAGGCTTTTGGGAGCGACACGGTTGGTAGTTTGATCTGCCATGAGTTGCTATCTTCGTTCCTTCCCACCCGCGAATTGGATGAGGCGTTGGAAGTATCCGTCCTCGTGAACTCAGGACTAAGCCGCTAGCTTCGCATGAGAAACATCGCTGAGGCTCCAGTTGCTTCAATTAAAAGGATGTTCCATTTTGGGCGGGTTCCGCATTTTTCCTGAAAAGGGAAGGTTCCATGATAGTTCCCGAGGGTCCTTCCATTTTTTGGGGGGGAAGCCGACCTCCATCGCCAGTTGGCCCACCCGCTTCAGGCGCAGAGGCCGAAGCCGCGGCAGCAGACCGCCGCGGCGGCCAAGAAAGCCGCGGAGCGCCGGAAAAAGGCGCAAGCGCTGGAGCCGGCGCCGGCGCAGGCGACACTCGGAGCCGGAGGTCGAAACCAAACACCCGCCTTTCTTCCATTTGCTTAAGTGTTCCTCGTTTTGTTAAAAAAAAAAGCTCAGGTGATATCCCCAACAGCATGCGGTGGAACCCTGCAAGAACCCTGGTGGAACCGTGGTGGAACCCTGGTGGAACCTTACCTCAGGGCCGCCCCGGCCCGGAGCCTATCTGGGCTTAGACCCCAAAGCTTTCAGCTGTTGGGGGGAAAAAACATATTTATTTTCCCCTGTTGGTTTTAAAGGGCATCTATGACTACTGGAATTATGTTTATTTGTTTCAGGGGGCTCAAGCAAATGAAAGTTTTGACATGTTGATGTTGGGGGGCCCGGTAGATAGCCGGTTTCCACTATAGTAGGTAACCAGCCAGTTTCCTTTTTGGTTTTGAAAGGGTGGTCCTACTTTGACGGTAAATGGATCCGCTGGGATTGTGTGTTGCGTGCCGTATCCGGTTTGTGGGTTGCAAAAGGGGAAGACGAAGAGTGTGCTTTTGGTTTTTAGGGTCTGGATGATTTCTGCGGAGAGTCCTAAAAAGATGATCCAGGCGTTTGGACAGTTGGAACGGGTTCCTTTGGTCTTCAGTAGCCAAAATCCTCGCGTAGCTGATTAATTACCCTGTGCACCCAAACCGCCCACACCCTTTACAAACGGGTGCTACCGGAAACACCCGGGGTCTGGCCCCAAATCAAACATACCTCAGGTTTGACAATAGAACCCCGGGCTTTGTTTCGCGGAGCCCGTACCAAACCCATATTTGTGTACTTGTTTGAAAAGCCTCGGGTTTGCTTGGAAAACCTCGGGTTTTTTTTTTTTATTTATTTATTTTTTTAAACAACCTTTTTCAGGGTTTGGGTGTACAGGGTAACCCCCCAAATATTATGAAGAAAAATCATTTTTCGTCAGAAAGCTTTCCAAGACGACCCCTTAGTCGATTCATCAGGGGTCAAACAATATCCCCTTCTAGCACAAGATCGTATTCGTCAAGTTCCATGTTTTTGGGGGAGGGGTATTTCATCCATAGGTTTCCTTTGGTGAGTTTGGTCAGAAATATGTGGCACTGGTTTATATGACTCTTATGCCCCATTCACCAAACACACCCACCTATGTTACCACAAGTATGGGCGCATCTAGATGCATACAATTTTCTCTGGGAGCCATGGGCGTGTCGGAGGGAACAAAGCGTTTGGTTCTGCAAATCGCCGGACACTTCGCGCACCACTTATTTCTGACAACTACTAGTGTGAACTATTAAAAGGTAACCCCCAGCTGGAGCCCCGTTAAGGGTCACAAGTGAAGCAAAGATTGATTCATACGCTCTACCCATAGTTTGTGAAGCTTCTTTTGGGTTTGGACCACTTGAATGGTAAAGAAGCTGTACCAGTTTGGACTTATCCGAACTTTAAACTGCTTGGAAAGACCATTTTAGGGGCAAATGAAAAGGTTTTGGTTGCGTGTCCACTTCCTGGGATCGAAAGGACTCTGATTTTCCTTTGGCTAGGCCTCTGAGTACTGGAAACCACGCTTCTCCTTTTTTCCCGGCAGGGCGAGAAGTGCCAACTGGTGCTTCGCTTTCCTTGTGGCCGTCGATCTGCCACCCAGCTGCAGCTAGCAAACCAGTCCGCCAGCATTTGGTTCACCAAGATTTTGTTTAACGGTTTGTCACGCTCTCCTTTGTACCTGCTCGGGGCATTTGTTAAAGCACGGGCTTCGAACAACAAAGGTGCAGCGAACAGGTGTTTCTTGAATCTAAAGGAGCATGGATTCTGGACATCTTGTGGAAGACCCCTTCCGTTCTGGACACAGCATGCCGCACAATATTTGTTTGGGACCCTCCCCCGCTTTGATGCTGCCAAGTTTCGGAACAATCTCCGAACCGCAGCTTTCGGACCCTGGAGGGTCCCTCCGCTACGGGCCTCTTTGGGGAGAGACTTTCCGTTGGCTGTGGGTCAAGAATAGGTACCCAAAATGAAAGCCTGGCAAATGGAGCCAAGGACTAAAACCTGCGGTTTTCTGGTGGCTGAATTTTGACTCATACCCTTTTCATCCCGGCACACCGTTCAATCTATCAACCATTGTCTAGGTCCCCCAGTAGTGCCCTTTTTCCCCTTTTTTTTGGGGGGAGGGTACCCCTACTAAAATAGACTACAGAAAAAAATGAGTACCAACTTATTTAAGGGCTGCCGCCCAGTGCCGCCGACCCCAGTTTGCGGTCAGGGAGCTCTTCAGACGGACAAATGTCAGCACAACAAATCGTGTATGTATGTATGTATGCATGTATGCATGTATGCATGTATGCATGCATGTAAGGACGATGACGAAGAAGATGATGATGATAAGCACCGTGATGATGCTGATGATGATGATGATGATGATGATGAACTGACATGATAATCATGATGACGCATCCTCAGCACCACCAGCAGTCATCATGATAATCATGTCCGCGCATCTTCTGCATCTCAAATCGGGTCTAACGGGACACTTGAAACGTATATTAAAAAAAGATAAGGACGATGACGAAGAAGATGATGATGATGAACACCAACTGACATGATAATCATCATGACGCATCCTCAGCATCACCAGCAGTCATCATGATAATCATGTCCGCGCATCTTCTGCATCTCAAATCGGGTCTAACGGGACACTTGAAACGTATATAAAAAAAAGATAAGGACGATGACGAAGAAGATGATGATGATAAGCACCGTGATGATGCTGATGATGATGATGATGATGAATTGACATGATAATCATCATGACGCATCCTCAGCATCACCAGCAGTCATCATGATAATCATGTCCACGCATCTTCTGCATCTCAAATCGGGTCTAACGGGACACTTGAAACGTATATAAAAAGATAAGGACGATGACGAAGAAGATGATGATGATGAGCACCGTGATGATGCTGATGATGATGATGATGATGATGACATGATAATCATCATGACGCATCCTCAGCATCACCAGCAGTCATCATGGTAATCATGTCCGCGCATCTTCTGCATCTCGAATCTCGAATCGGGTCTAACGGGACACTTGAAACGTATATAAAAAAGATAAGGACGATGACGAAGAAGATGATGATGATGAGCACCGTGATGATGATGATGATGATGATGATGATGATGATGATGATGAACTGACATGATAATCATCATGACGCATCCTCAGCATCACCAGCAGTCATCATGATAATCATGTCCGCGCATCTTCTGCATCTCAAATCGGGTCTAACGGGACACTTGAAACGTATATAAAAAAAGATAAGGACGATGACGAAGAAGATGATGATGATGAACACCAACTGACATGATAATCATCATGACGCATCCTCAGCATCACCAGCAGTCATCATGATAATCATGTCCGCGCATCTTCTGCATCTCAAATCGGGTCTAACGGGACACTTGAAACGTATATAAAAAAGATAAGGACGATGACGAAGAAGATGATGATGATAAGCACCGTGATGATGCTGATGATGATGATGATGATGAACTGACATGATAATCATCATGACGCATCCTCAGCATCACCAGCAGTCATCATGATAATCATGTCCACGCATCTTCTGCATCTCAAATCGGGTCTAACACACTTGAAACGTATATAAAAAAAGATAAGGACGATGACGAAGAAGATGATGATGATGAGCACCGTGATGATGATGATGATGATGATGATGATGATGATGATGATGATGATGATGATGATGAAATCGATAATGATCATGATTTATCGCAAGACCTTCCCGTACGCCTCCCTCTTTGAGGAGAAGGGGTCGGCGGATTCTAACCTCTTGAATCTGGAGGACCTAGTTGTGTTCCCTTTTGTGGGAGGGAGTCGCTTTGCCCATGGCTGCATCGTGGCTCAGGAGAGGGCCTTCCCGGCGCACGCCGCGCTGTCGGCGGTCTACGACTGGGCGGACTGTGCTGGGGAGCTGGCAGCGCCGGGGAATGCCTTCGAAGTGCCAGAGACGCTTGCAACATGGGCCAGTGGGCCAGCTTGACCGCTATTGGGTTGGATCTTTAGGCTTTAACTTTGGGAAATAAAGGTGGTTTCCACTAAACCCCCAAAAAGTTAAACTTTTTGCAGGAGGGCCAACCAAGTGGGTAGAGGGTGCGGGAAGCAGAGTTCCGTTTATTGACTACACCAAGGTAGACTTAAACCCAGGGGTTTCTTTTGACGAAATCCACCATCCCTGGATTGATGCTCACTTTGGGATTCTATAAAAATGGAACCCTGGCGGGAAGCCCGGAAGTAGCAGTGCATCAAGGTGGCCCAGTTGCGCTTGGACCCTTTCCAAGAGAGATCCAGTGACCTGGCAAATGGTCAACCTACAAGGCAACTGGGTGGTAATCATCCTTCTTTTGACCATAGGTGTGACCTTGCGTGGATTCATCGTCCAAGTGAGTTTCTGGCATAGCGGGGATGTGTTGCATGGTCCCAGGCCGCCGTTTTGCTTGCTGCATATTCATGCAGCACGTTGTTTTGTTCGGTTCCGTTCCTTGCTTCATCCCAAGAAGCTACAGGAAGTAACATTCGTGTCCGGCGGGCGTTTCTTTCCCCGCAAAGCAGCTGGTTATCCTTGGATGTTTGCCCAGGAGCCAAGGAATCCCTGCATCTCGCTTCACTAGTTGTAGCGAGCTCCAGGGACAAACCGAGGCAACCCGAACATCCCCAAAGGTCTCTTCTTTGATTGCTCAGTTACTTGGGAGCTTATCAAGATGGTGGACCCCTTTTGGTTGGTGTCCAAGGCAAGCCGGGAGGAAACCGACCGTTTCAGGGACCACAGTGTTGAGAAATGCAATGAAAGTAGTTCGCCTCTCCCAGCATGGATTTCAACCGAGCGGTTTCTTTGCCAAATCTTCAAACGAGGTTCCTTTCGGATTCCCTTCAGGCCAAGGGGAAAAGGGTTCTCTCAAATTTCCCGAGGGAGCAATTTCTACCCTTTGGATTGGGCCAGAGAGAGGGAACCCTGTCCGAGTAATGGGTTTGAAATAAGCCAAGGTTACAATTGGGGGTTGACCAATCTTCCGTTCGGCCCCCAAATGACCATTGGGTAAGCGTTTGTTTTTTCCTCCCATGGTGACTGCGTCCAATCTGAGTGGTTTCCAACGAACATATTCTTGCTGGCGCCCAGGTGGGATTAGGCAACCACCAGTTGGGTGGTTTAAATCGGGCTCATTCCAATTGTCCTTCCCTGCATCTCCTGCACCAAGTAATTGAAAACCCCATCAATATCTGAAATCGACCCACTTGCAAATATGTTCACCCCATAAAATCGACCCACTTGGCGAGGAAGTTCCAGCCGAAATTGTCCACCCCGCGTACCAAGATCGGACCTGATCTAGGTCTCCCAGTAGTGCCCTTTCTCACCCCTTTTTGGGGGAAGCCTTCCCCTACAAAAATAGACAGCAGAAAAGCAAAGTCGGGTACCGACTTATTCTAACCTCTCAAATCTGGAGGACCTTATTTCCACCCCACCAGGCACCAAGTATCTTCACCCCACCAATTCATAGATGAAATCGACCCACTTGCAAGTCTTTTCAAAACCCGGTGGGCGTTGAGGAAGTTCCTGCTGGCGACCAGCTTCCCCCGAGAGCAGCTGCTGAACCGGTCCCAGACCTTGAGTCAGCTGAACCTCTGCCCGGCCGCCGTGCTCACGGTCTGCCCCCAATAGCGGATGGCGGATGGCTCTCAGTGCTTAATCCGAACTCCGGGTTGGCAAATGGGTGGGCCCGTGTGTTTGTTGTTTTTCCTGATTGTGGGCACTGTATTTGTTGTGTTTGTTGTTTTTTCAGGGTGGTTTACAGGCAGGCCCAGGTAAAAGAAATCAAGAGAACAAGGCGCTGGGTCGAAAAAGCAGGTGTTCCGTGTTCATCAAGGCTTCGGGCGTTGTTGGTTTTTTCCGGGTTTTTGGGGGTCGCGATGCTGCCCTCGGCGTCTGGACTTCATGTTTTTTTGGGAAGACCATGTGTAGCTCCACGGAAGTGAGCACTAGGCCCCCCAATACCCCTTTACCAACTTTTTGGGGGGAGGGTTCCCCTACTAAAATCGACAGAAAAAAATCGGGTACCAACTTATTCTAACCTCTCAAATCTGGAGGACCTAGGAGATCCCAGCCTGAGTTAAGAGCGGAAGCTCCACAAACCCAAGTGATGACCCGGTTTCCCGTGCGCGGCGCGAACTCGCTCGAGAATGCGAAATGCGAGACCTCAGAAGCAGGGATCAAGAGGCGCGAGCTCGGCGCGCCTTCGATGTGTTCGTAAGCGTGAAATTTTTGGGTACCATTTCGGAGGGATGCAACAGGGAGCCCTTAAGGTTCTCCAGCAGAGCCCTTAAGGTCCTTCAGAATGAGTGCAAAAGTCAATCGACTTTATTTGTTTGGCTCTTGTGACCAGGCATGGCTTTGCTTGGCTCGGTGTGCACATGCTCCCCACACCACCCTGCACTCAGCAGGCATTTGCAAGTCCCAATGAATAGGAACGAGCCAGCGTGACCAAGGCAAACTCTAGATGATTGATTACGGCGTTCTGATGGGGGGATCCGCTTTATGGGATGCCATTCTTGCAAGTGCGCATCGTGCAATTGATGTATGGACATGCCCGCCCCCCTCGAAACACCTGCAAAGGATCCCCAAGCCCATTTGAGTGGCGTGACGAGTGACGCCCATCCCCTTCAAGCCTTGCTTGAGGTTTATGTGCCTGAAGATTACCATGAACATGTAGCCACGTAGCCAAATACCGTTGACGTTTCCGGATGAAGGTTTGATACCATTTGAGGCATTGCCTTAGTGCTTCGAGCTGCCATAGCGAGAAGAAACCATGTAACTACGTACCTCGGTCTGATTGTTCCTGGCAATCTAAAGTGGCCTTGCGGGCAGTCGACAAAATGCTTTTGCGTCGCAAAAAACAGTTTGGAGTCGACCAATCAACCAAGTCAATCACTGGTTTGGCAGTTCAGCAGGGCTTGCTCTACAGCCAGTTGCTCTATCTTTCTGGCACGTGTGTATGGTTTCCAGGCAGGTTCCCGGCGGGATACTCCGGCCCAGGTTCGAAGCCTCCTTCGGGTGCATGCTGCAGCCCACGAACATCACCAAGTGCGCCAAGACTGGCCAAGGGCAGCTGGAAGCCCCAGAAACGTGCGAGCCTGGTGTTTGAACAGCTGGTGTTTGGTGATCATGGTCCGTTTGGTCGCCGGGTCACTTTGGTCTTGGCCTAAGCACGTGGCAACGAGCTTCCGGGTCCCAAGCCCTGCTGACTTCCCAAGCGGCGTTGGTCGGAACGCAGTTGGGGTGGGCGCGGGGCTGCGACTTGTCCCGAAGACTTGACTGCTATTGGGCAACGGATCTTTAGACTTTAACTTTTTAGGAAATAAAGGTGTTTTCCAGTCTAAACCCCAAGAAGGCTAAACTTTTTGCAGGGGGGTCAAGAGCAACCAAGAAAACATGAATTACCCTTGTGCCGGGCGACAAGCACGGTTGCGCCATGTTTGTACAGGCCGAACAGAAATAAGGTAGCAGAGCCGCCTACTAACATTGCAAATCAAGAGGTTCGGGGGCAAATGCTTGGAACAAGGTTGTGTGGGTACTTTAAAGCCAACTGTAGTCCTATCTATGCGAGTAATCTATGAATTATTGACCCTATGTATTCCGGATTCATCTGGGGGGGGAACCCAGCCTTCGGAAAGACAGCCGCCTTTGCCCCTTCTGCCCCTGTTGCATCCTGTGGCCCTGTCCCCGGCTGAATTTTCTGCACCTCCCCCCCCTCCCCGGCGCAGTTCCAGGGGTGGTTTCCCACTTGGCCTCTGCAAGAACCACAGGTTCAAATCCACGTCCAAACCACCAATCCTAAGCCGGAAAAGGAACACCTGAAGCTTGGAGCCGGTTCATGACAACTGCGCCGTTTGATACAGGTCCCACAGTGTCCCTGAGTGGATTCCACCCCAATCATCAAGCATCCCATGGAATCAGCCTAAGCAGGGCTCTTTCTTTGTGATGCCTCAAATTGAGCGGGGGGGTTCTAGGAAAACCCTGGGTTTACTGAAAGTCTCTACCATTCAAATGGACCCCCGGCCTTAGCGCAAACAAAAACAGCCCGCCGCCTTCCGGCCCGTCCGAGGCCGCACCTGCCTCGGCACAACTCGGATGGGATCGGGCGGGCGGAAGAAACAAGTCCATTGCCTCGGTTTGCCCAAAGCGAATCGACCTTTGAACCTTTGGTTTCCCTGATGTGGTCAATGTTTCGCGAAGGCTCTAGTGGGTGATCACCTTTTTGTTGCAGGTCCCTGACAAACAACTGAGTTTTTTTGATTTTGATTGGGAAGAGCAGACTTTGCACCATCACGTTTTATTTACAGGTGTTTTCGGACTGCGGGGAGTCGGTCGCAATTTGTCCCTTCTAGGCGTTCTAGGTCCCCCAGTAGTGCCCTTTTACGGGAGGGTTCCCCTATTCTAACCTCTGTACTGGAGGACCGAGCCTTGGTTTTGTTCAATGAGATCTCCATTGCGAGCTGTGGCGAGGTGTTAGCGTCCCACACGGGAGTTGCGAACAGTCTTGGCAGCTCCCCAGTGGCTCTCTGAGAGTCAGTTGCCAGTAAATGGCAAGTAGTGCAGCGCCAGGTTTCTTGCGGTGTTTGAAAGCTGGTTTCCCTGGTTACACACGACACAGAGAGGTGGAATCACTGCGCATTTCATGCTGGCCGATGGATCTCAGGTACAGCATGTGTCTCCTGCCATTCGCGGAGCATGCGGTTTTTCAGGGGTGAAAGCGCACGTGGTTCCATTTCCTCAGCCAACAGTGGCCTGATCTTAGCTCTGTTTTTTCTCAACGCCACTATTCACCACCCCGCCTTATCAGTCTGCATGTCTGCTTTTCTTTTTGCGTGGTTCCAAGGCATCATCCCCAAGCCAGTGGCCAAAGGAGAAAGGACTGCGTCCCTACAACCTCCCAGAAAAGGTAACAGCACCCAAGCAATGTCAACCCCGGATCTGGTTTGATTCGTTCTTACAACGACCTGGTTTCTCCTAAGTGGCACGCCCTGCCTTGAAAGCCGGCTGGAGGTCGACCTACCAGGACTGGTGGGATGGCAGCGCGGTCTGGAACCTCAGAGTCCGGGATGGAGGAAAGAGTTGATGGGTCGGGGTCGTTTTGGAGGGCCCTTGTAAGTTTCTTTGAAAGGCAAACAAACTGAAGGACAACCACATTCATCATGATTAGTGCTAGTATTGCTACTATTATGATTATCGTGGTGATTATTAATTATTACTATTTGTTAATATATTGCTATTATTATTGCTATTATTATTGCTATTATTATTGCTATTTATGTGTTTGTTTGCGGAGGGGGGGGGGCCCAAAAAGGCACCCGTATTGGCACGTGTTTTAATCTTGACCCCCCCCCGCCCGGCACACCCCTTGACCGTTTTCTTCAAAGGAATTGGGGGGGAGAGGGGCAACCGAAAAAACTCTGGTGCCAGAGTTGGGACTGCTGAAGTAACCTCCCGGCAAGTCCTGCGTAGTACTGGTATAGCACTGGTTTAGCATAAGTTGAGCGTTCCTGTGGAGTGGCTTAGTAGGTTTTAGAGTTGGTTTATTGCGTGTGTATTCCCGTGCACTGGCTCAGTCGTCTCTAGATGTGATTTAGTATTGCTCCAATGGTTCTCCAATAGCTGGCCCGGTGCTGTTTGGAATTAGTATTTGCCTACTACTTGGAACTGGCGCAGAGGTTTGTGTTTTGTCTTTCCCCACCCTAAAACACAACTACCCGTAAGCACAAAACAACATTCCCTCTCGGGCTTCTCGGGAACTGATTGAAACTATGTTAAGGGCTCGCCGTTTTGGTAAAGAGTGTCATGAATACTTGCTTGGTCTCACTTAGGACTGGCTTAGTATTGGTCTTAGTCTTGGGTCAGAGTTGCTTGGTATTGGTTTAGCATTGGTGAATCTTAGTTGTATCATTGGCTTATTATGGTGCTACCTCAGGCGCAAGCTGCTGCTTTTGAAACTATGGAAAACTACAGGACACCTTGGGAACTGGCTGGGAAAACTCGGAAAAGAATGCAGAAGCAGGAAACTTGGAAAAACCGTTCAGAGAAGCTCAGAAACGTTGGCCAGAAAGAGCGCGGAAGATACTCGGAACATTGGCCGGAAAGACTCGAAAAAGCTGGCTGAAAACACGCGGGAGAACTTGGAGCATCGAGAAAGCTCGGGAAAGCTGGGTGGAAAGACGTCGGCCAAGGAATCAAAGCCACAGCGTCATGATTTGAAGGCAGCCACACGCTGTGTTTGATCTCCATTGGTTTTCCTGGAGGTTTTCCTTGGTTCCCTTTTGATTATCCCTTGCGTTGCCCTGGCTTTCCCTTGCATTCCCTTGGTTTCCCCTTGGTGTTCCAAAGATTTTTCCTTGGATTTCTTTTGTTTTGACATTGGTTTTTCCCTAGTTGTTCATTGGTTTTCACTCCCAACGGCGTATGCGTCTTCTGGTTTCCCATGTGAGTCTTTGATCAACCCTTTTCTTGGCCAAGTCCTTGCAAGGTTTTCACCGGTTTGGCCAGCACATGCCAGCCCCCCCCCCCCACAAAAAATTTGGATAAATAAGACATGACTGGGAA